TATAAAACAAAATTATGTAGGAGTTTTATTTATTCGCAATGCGTTGTGGAGTGTAGGTCAATAATCAGGAGAAATAATAAATATAACATAATTACATGTTTAATGAATTTCATGAAGTGAAACGGTTCGAAACCACCTTAGTAATATTGTACATACGTACAGACGGTCTTTTTAGGCTGAGACTAAATTTAGGGATAATGTTGCCATATGAATTTGTCAGGAATGGAGTCAAAATTGTTACGGATAAGTCGTTAAAACGTGGTTTATAAATATCTGAATGCAATGTTTGGTCATCCCTTTCTTCAGTACATAAATAAGACATATCTTGCCCGTAAAATCCATACCTTAATCCACAGTTAGGAAAGATATTCCACGTTTCTATAAAATAGACGTAGACATCAGTATAAATGCCATAAAAATTATTGTGAAATCTGTACAAATGCAATAGAAAATTGTTGGGGAATTCATTAAAAATGGCATATGACATCTTTGCGAAATCATGTAGAAAGGATACATAAAGTAAATGTACCTTCCTTTCTTGTGATAATTTATTTTTTTATTCATTCTTCAGCATGCAGTATTATAAAATCTAAATATTTTGGGGGAAAAATCAGTTGCAGATAAGGCATTTCTATAAAATGTATTTTCAGCAATTTTATTTCAGTTGTAAAAGATCTGCATTCTTGTAATCCGCATGCAGGACGAAACATCCGCAAAATGCGGACAAATCCAACACGTGGATTGGCTTTGAATTACACTATTCACTCCACCCGCAAGTGATAAAGAACGAAGCTGTAAAATAAATACTCGAAAATGGTCATTTTCTATCATCTATAACATCATGCCCTAGTTTAAATAAATTTCTCAACATTTTACCTTCCAAAGCAAGTTTAAAGCATCTTGCTTATGATAATCAGGACAAAATAGACAGGAATTTTACTTTAATAATAATAATAATAATAATAATAATAATAATAATAATAATAATAATAATAATAATAATAATAATGATGATGATGATGATGATGATGATGATAATAATAATAATAATAATAATAATAATAATAATAATAATAATAATAATAATAATAATAATAATAATAATAATAATAAAAATAATAATAAAAATAATAATAATAATAATGATGATGATGATGATGATGATGATAATAATAATAATAATAATAATAATAATAATAATAATAATAATAATAATAATAATAATAATAATATGGACTTATTACAGCGCCTACCCTTTATAAGCTCTCAGCACTTTACAATATTAGATAACACATAAAAACATATGCAACGACAAGATTACAAAAATAAACACCACGAAATTACACAACAAATTGAAGATATTAGCTTTGCTTGGATGTCATGCATTAGCTGGGCTCTCTTTGTTATATGGAGGTTTCTCTTAGTAGCAAACAAAGATGGTGGGTCAGTGAGATGGTACATGATGCAGAAGTGATCTGATGCAAGTTCTTGGGACACCAATGAAGACTTTAGAAAATAATCATCTGTTCTATAAAGAATCCAGTCAAAAATGTGATCATGTTTATGGGTTGGTTGACTAATTGACTGTTGGAATTGAAAATGTGAATAAAGACAAGGAGTTTTAATGTACATGGATTTCCATAACAGGCCAATTAAAAACTAAAACCTCCGAGAATAATTCGGTTGCATGTGAAGCAAACAAAATTCCACGCCAAATTTTAAAAAAGGATTCTTTGAGTAAAGAAGTCGATAAAGTTAGTTGCTACTTGCGATGAGGAGATATGAAGTGAAAGAGATTATTATAGGAATAGTATATTTCAGAATATTTAATTTAAAGCTTATCAAATTTAAAGAGTCTTTTATGTTTATACTTTCCTTAATACTGATGCCGATACTGGTACTATGTGCCATGAGAATGGACCTTTCAGACTACAGCTTGGATTTGTATCCCTAGTGAATAACGGATATAATTTAATAATTTAAAAAAATCAAAGAAAATTTAGTTTTTTTTTTGATCAGTTTTGTTTAAAGAAAACAAATTAACAATACACTTTTTAAGAAAAATAAACAGCTTTTTTGAAGGATATCTGGATCAGAGTGACTCTATTTAGAGTACGTCATCCAGATTCAAAACTATCTCTTTACTGCTGTTGCTATATGGATGCTGGTCTCTTCCGGTGTGCTGTGAACCGGGTTGTCGATGAGCGCCGCCTGGCGGTAATGATGTTTTCGGAGAACCCCATTGAACAATACCTTCAGACTGGTGTGAAGAATTACCCCGGGAGCAACGTTTATGTAGAAAGTCTAACTTAAGAGCAACAGAGAACAAATATCACGTTTTGCTTGTATGTCTATTCTTATTGGGATTTGAGATTTAAGTATTTAAATAAATTATTGTGCCACAGTCTGGATAAGCTAAAGTTTTGAATCATTATTTGTAAAATTTCTTCAAAAGGATTTGCGTTCATTGTCTAAATAGGTATATTTTGCAGATCGAAATATGTTGCATGAAAATAAAGGTTTTCTTTAAAATTGGATTATTTGTGATTACAACAGAGCACCACTATCTTCTGTAAACTGAAATAATTTTTAAATCAAAATCTACAGTGTAAATTACTCATATATCTATGTTGGGACTTTTGTAAGTCGTACAACTTCCGCGCACTTGTGATGTATAGTCTAAAGCTGCATAAAGACTCAGTTCACGTCTGCTTTATGTTTCCGAAAACCGGCACAATCTCAAAATTATGTCATACTGAAGAGAGAGAGAGAGAGAGAGAGAGAGAGAGAGAGAGAGAGAGAGAGAGAGAGAGAGAGAGAGAGAGAGAGAGAGAGAGAGAGAGAGAGAGAGAGAGAGAGAGAGACCCAATGCACTCGGCATTCAACAAGATGGGTCTATATTCTTCAGCCTGTACAAATTTGATGACTTAAATTCTAATTCAGCAATTAGTTGAGTGACAGTTTGTGACATCGTTCTTTTCTCACAATGATCTATATTCTGCACGCACATCAACCTACATATTTAAGTGATCACTTGAATCCTTAGGTTCGAGAAAAAAAAATGAATATTTTTAAAAAGGCAACTATTCTAGTGTGATTATACTTAATGTCTCAGACAATTTTATCGATGCTTACCAAGTGTATAACATCCGTCTAATACAGCCCCTGTAACTGGGGTTGGGGTGTGTGTGTGATGGGGGGGGATACCTATCAAAATACTTTTTCTTTGTGAGGAGGGCCAGTAACTAAGTGCTGGGTTGGGGTGGCAGATGTTCATGCTGCGTTAATGTGCTAACCGGGGAAAAATGTATTTTTATTGTTACGACTATATGGTTTTAAACTAAGTAACAGAAAACACATTTTTGTGAAATTTAACAAATAATTGATTTTCATGGATTACAATGTGAAACTTTAAAAAATAACTTACAGTATTGTGTTCGAAATTATGAGAATGTTCGATCACAATTCCAAAATGAATGAAGTTCCAATTCAATTCCAGTGGTCTTCCAGTTAAATTATAATATTGAATATGTTGATGTGCCTGTTGTCTCGAACGTGATCATGTGTTAGTGGACTGGTATGTGGCAATGTGTTAACAGTCTTCGCTGTATCACAATAATATCATGAAAAATGTCCTTGACTGAATTCACTTTAATTCCAAAGTAATGGTTTAGTCCGAGAAGTCTTAATGAGAATTTTATAATTCAAAATAATATTAATTTAAATACATAATCCACACAAATTAAAAACTTACCACAACAAAAAGACTGCATCCACTCCAGATGTTAAGGTAGTGATGAGAAATGGTTAAAGTAAATAACACTGATATAAAAAGTTAAGACACAAGAATACAGCCAAGATGCAAGTCAGTCCCTCTCTAAAAAAAATCAAAGTTGTTTTCAAGATTAGGTATTTTCCTAGTGTAAAACTAATATCCTACAGTTAGATAGAAGTAAACAAGTTTGCCTCCATTAATAATGAAGTAAACATTTAATCTATAAAGATAGATTAATATTAGCTATGTATTATGCAGTCTACAAAATCAATGTCAACAGTAAGGTACACCATTAACTTGATTTGGACTCAGTTACAAAATGCAGACATACATAAGATATACTCATGGAAATAAGCCAACAAACAATACAAATTATATATACATAACATTATTCATTTTTAAAAAATTATAAACAAATAATTTCGAAAAAGAACTTTCTGGATATTACTAAAACTGAGGCAAAGAGTACAATTTTGTGTTATTTTGTTGGATAGGGGTTGAGAAAAGAGTTGTATTGTATTGTATTGTATTGTATTGTATTGTATTGTATTGTATTGTATTGTATTGTATTGTATTGTATTGTATTGTATTGTATTGTATTGTATTGTATTGTATTGCCTTACATTGCGTTGCATTGTATTGTATTGTATTGTATTGTATTGTATTGTATTGTATTGTATTGTATTGTATTGTATTGTATTGTATTGTATTGTATTGTATTGTATTGTATTGTATTGTATTGTATTTGGCAAAGGCTAAACTATCGTTAACATGACTTTGATGTAGTTGTACATAGATCAACGGCAATTCTGGAATGTACCCGACTGATACTCACCCAGATGAAAAATATACATGTTTATGCTTTTGCAGATATTATATATTTGTAGCTCACCCACAAACCCAACCCATAAAATATAACCTTCTCTTTTCTAATATCTCTTTCGTTCTTTATTATTTGTTTCTTTCATTCGCTTTTTATATATTTATTTTACCTCATTTTCTAATTTTTCCGTCATTTCCATATTTACAAAAAAACATTGAAGTTTTCTTTATTTCTATTGTCTCCGTTCCACTAAGTTATATTTTATAACGTTTTGCTGTTACACTTTTTTGTCTTTTACTCTCTTATTTTACTTTGTGGTGTTCTTTCTTACCAAGATTCTGTCTTGAATTATTTTTAGGTGACTTTTTCCATTAGTATTCTAGATGACTTGCTTAAGTAACCGCTTCGGTGGTCTGGTGGTCAGAGCGGTTGCCTCCGATGCAGAAGGTCGCGAGTTCGAACCCTGCCCGAGTCATACCAAAGATTTATAAAATTGATACTGACAGCTGCCTCGCTATTAGCTCAGAATTAAGAGATTAGTGTTAGAACTGATCGGCCTGGTGTCAGGATGATGTGACTGGGTGGGACATCATGCTACATATCTTCGGCATCATGCCTCAGTGCGAGACATCACCACTATAAACTGCCACACTGCCGACATCGAACGATCTGACTAAAAAATTTATAAAACTACGTTAAAAATAAAAATCTTACATAGACACACACACACACACACACACACACACACACACACACACACACACACACACACCGAAGTCACCTTGTACTCGTTATAGTTTTCACAAAATCTTCATCTCATCGTACAATCCTCCAAACTTGAATAGGTGATGTAATGTAATTGGGATAAACATATCCACACAGCGTAATTGAGCACGTGCGACCTTAGTAAATATTTGATGTAGATTTGACGAGTCTGACCATCAATTGTTTCCGTCATTTAATGACTGCGTTAAATAAAAGGATGGACAGAGTTTGTCATTTAAGCTTAACAGCTGACTTCATTAACAACAAAACTCCTAAAACTTTCCATCATCCGGTTTGCCTCTGTCTTATGGTTCATGACCAGCATGGTCAACGACATTAAGCATTGCGATAATATTCACGTAAACAGGTCTGCCCAAATTCGTCTGCGGATAGAGTCATGGGCACATCTGCATGTCACACGGTAATAATTGCATGGAAAATGGGAATCAGTCTGAAAATTTGTGAACATAATATATATATATATATATATATATATATATATATATATATATATATATATATATATATATATATATATATATATAGAGAGAGAGAGAGAGAGAGAGAGAGAGAGAGAGAGAGAGAGAGAGAGAGAGAGAGAGAGAGATGCAATAAACTGACGACGAACAGTACGAAACTAGTAACTAACTAGCCTAAGCGCTTTCGACTCTTAATGAGTCTTTTTCAAAGGCAAATACAAAACATAGTTACGACAAACAAATAAACACAAAAACGTTGCGTAACTATGTTTTGTATTTGCCTTTGAAAAAGACTCATTAAGAGTCGAAAGCGCTTAGGCTAGTTAGTTATTAGTTTCGTACTGTTCGTCGTCAGTTTATTGCATCTATTTTAATTAATCCCTGACAAACGTGATCCCTTGGTGGATCCAGTACGCTTGAGAGGGTTGTTATTCGCCATATGTTTTTTATTATATATATATATATATATATATATATATATATATATATATATATATATATATATATATATATATATATATATATATATATATATATATATATATATATATATATATATATATATATATATATATATATATATATATATATATATGAGTTTGTCTGGCCAGGATTGGTTGATAATGAAAGTTATTTTGTAGGGAAAAGAATCTTTTGAGAATTTATCGTAATTGTAAGTTAAAAAAATGGCATTTTCTTCTTGATGGAATTTCAGTCCTTTAACAGTCATGGGTTTGGTGCGGCAATACTTTTAAATATTGATATAGAATCTTATGTAGCATGAGTAACTGATAAAACGGTTTATCCACCCTATCAGTGTTTTATGGTAAATATTCCTAAATTAGTCATCAGAATTGTACTGGTAACATTTTGTATTGAAGACTTAACATTTTCTAAAGTTGGATTTTTATATACAAAGGTGGGTAAATATTTTCTTCGTAATTCTCCATATATTGGACAAGCAGTAATAAAATTGAATTCATTTTCGATGTCAAGATTACACATTTGACACTATCTTGCCTCGGCAGCAAATGCTTTCATATCTTCCCGTGTTTCCTCTAATTGGCTTGTTCCCCACTTTAAGCATGGTGATTATATAACACAATTTGCTATCTCCCAACAGTTATATGTATATTTGATAAGTGAATTCTACTTCCAATGACCTATAGAAACGCAGTCTTTCCATCAACTTAATCTCATTTTGCATCTTTTACCTTAAAAAATATTTTCACATCTCTGGCTGAACAAACTAAGAAATGTATTTTCATCATTTACGCCCTGAGTACACGAAGCATTTTCCAACCCGAGTGTAAGGCGTAGCATTTTATCACTATTATCCCAGCAATCACAATCCCCCCACACACACACGTCTTAAATTGTAGCATTGTTTATGATATCGCTATTCCGGAGTTTTTAGTGGTATTAGCCAATATGTATAAGTATATAATGAGCTGGATTTTTCTTTTCTTAAAGTTAAACTCACAACATTTTTAATTTCATTAATCACACTATTTATAGGTCACTGTATTTGTATGGGAAAATATGAACGAGTGTTTTGAATGAATATACTGCACGACATTGGGAGTACAGTGTATCCATCTGATAAAATGAGTTTATATTTTCCCATACAAATGCAGTAACCTTTTTATTATATGCTCATGTCTTATTCTTCCTAAGGCTTAAATATATAAAAAATACACTACAAGAAACAAAGTAAATAAATGTATGCCGTATTCCAAACTATATACATAAGCGATGATGGAGTTTTACACAACATTATTAATGAGCGCATAACTCCGCCCAGATATATTTGAAGTTGGTCGCGGGCTAGACGTAAGTTTCGAAAGAAAATGGCGTTTGGTCTGCTTGAAATTGAAATTTGAACCAATATTGTTAATGAATACGCATTGCAACAACTTTTCCATTTGATCTGGAATGAATACGTTTTGGTATTTTTGTCGATTCAACACAATCTTTTGATAATGGTCTGGATTTATCTACATGAAGTGACTTGCATCGGATTCCAGCAGCATCTATCAATTTAATCGTATTGAAGTGTTGACATCGGCATGCATGTTTCGTTTTTGTCATTGAATGATTCAGATCATAATGTGGGAAAATTATAGAGCCTTTCCATTGCAATTTTCGAAAGGATGCTGTGTAATTTAATGTTTATTTCATTTTGAATGCAGTAATGAGTATGAATCTGCACTTCCAATATACTCGAAATTACAGTACAATTTCAAAATGTGTAATCAACCTTGAGAATTCATGACATGTCTGATGTAATTCAGATTTACAGAACTACAAAAGTATATTTTTGAGGAAATTCAAGACGTAAAATTGTAAGTATATTTTTGCCACTTTTATTACCAGCTAAAGAAGAGGGTTTATGTGTATAACTTGCGTGTTATTGTGAGGACCCTGTATGGCGTCTATATCTAGCCTAAATCTAAAACAGTGTATCAAAAAGTAAACGCGGAATGTGCCAAAGCAGTTTGCATGTGTCAGTCTATAAAACATTTACTGCTATATGGCAGTTTGTGAAATATCTGCTTTAGTTCATTCATAAAATAAACTTTTAAAGTTGGAAAATAGTTCCTTTGAATTGAGCGCTAGGAGTATAATATGAAGGTGTGCAATATCGGTAAATACTAAATGATTCTGACAATGTAAAGTTAACGGAGAAAAAAAATGAGCATATAATAATTCAAAATACGTTTATATCTTATGCATTGCATTTTTATATGTTATCCTCTGTAGAATGTCCAGATATAAATCTTGCTTGCACTGAGCCCAGTAATTCGTTTTCGGTCACCAATATTCATTTTTCCTAATGTTTAACATCGATATCTATCTATCTATCTATCTATCTATCTATCTATCTATCTATCTATCTATCTATCTATCTATCTATCTATCTATCTATCTATCTATCTATCTATCTATCTATCTATCTATCTATCTATCTATCTATCTATCTATCTATCTATCTATCTATCTATCTATCTATCTATCTATCTATCTATCTATCTATCTATCTATCTATCTATCTATCTATCTATCTCTCTCTCTATATATATATATGTATGTATGTATGTATGTATGTATGTATGTATGTATGTATGTATGTATGTATGTATGTATGTATGTATGTATGTATGTATGTATGTATGTATGTATGTATGTATGTATGTATGTATGTATGTATGTATGTATGTATGTATGTATGTATGTATGTATGTATGTATGTATGTATGTATGTATGTATGTATGTATGTATGTATGTATGTATGTATGTATGTATGTATGTATGTATGTATGTATGTATGTATGTATGTATGTATGTATGTGTGTGTCTTTGATGTGTCGAATTTTGAAAACTCTTAGAAGCATTGGTTAAAGGAATTGTATCAAAGTCAACTTAATTAAAGTAGAAAGGGTTAGAGATAGATGATTATTTTCATTTCATCTCTGAACGTCAAAAGGGAATTCGTTCCAACTGACGTAACTTGACTGAGTCATATGCTATGGTACAAGAGAATAACATAAGACCCTTCCCCAAAATCGACCGGTTAAACGGAGAAACTTGCCATAAGTGATTGTTCAAATGAACGTTAATTACAGCAGGATTAGTTGTTTAGTTGTCTTGTCAATCCAATAATTCTACGGAACAGATTTAGGAAACGGTCTACTCCGATTGGTTAATATAGATGTAGGGGCGTAACTCTGTAAGAAATTAAAGGTTTTACTTTATGAAAATTCTTCTGTCTTCAATCTTTCTTGGGAAAGGTTAGATCGGACTCCGGGAGGAGCGTGAAAGACGTTATCTCGTGATTTGGCAGTAAAGCGTGAGAGTTGTCTCAGCGAGTAGACAAACTCTATCTTTCGTAGAAAGTACGTTTTTGTTATTGAGTAAGGGGCCAGATAGTTGTCTCAGTTAGGAGACGGACTATACTTGAGGTTTGTGGAAACTTAAAGGAAATGGCAAAATGTACGCAATCTTAGTTTCCCGATTTTAATAAATATGTTATTTTATTTGTTGATCTATTTGCAGATGTATTCATGATATGATGTATGTATGTATGATTTCATTTTGCAGGATTTTAGTGAAATGCTAGTCATGAAATTTTAATCTTTGATTTTCTAATTATCAATTCATTTGGAGAATTGACAAGATTGGATGTAATAAAAATTTCATTAGAGGAGTTGACAAGGTTGCATGTAATTA